CCATACAAAATGTATCTCAGAGAAAGGTGATCCTAGCCCTAAACTTTTGCAAGGTTCCCTATTTCTATCTTAGACCAAAGCATGTTCTTTTAATGCCCTTCACCCTTGATTGAGTTGGGTCACCTTGTTGCCCAGAGAAGCTTATGCAATCAATAAAATCCAGGGAAAGATGCTCTCTGTTAAGAAAAAAATTCTCAGTAACAGCATCTAAATTATATTTAGCATAAATTGGTCATGCAGAAAGCTTCCAAGATTTTGCTGTTGTACAAAATACAGCAACATACCACCAATTCTTTCAACTTTTGAAATCCCTGGGATGTATGTTTCTTGCACTAGCTTAACTCAAATGGTGGATAAAGCCACAGAAACAAAAATAGCAAACATTTGGTTGTTTTTTTGTCCAATTCAACACTACCATTTTCCTCTGTTTTCAAGACTACTATGTAATAACATCACAAACCTAATTCCCCATTGGCAGAAGGATAGATCTTTCTATGCTTCCATGAGTGAAAGTTGAAGGCAAGAAAATAGAAGGAAAGGCTAATAACCCTTCGGATCACTGGGGAATGGGAAACATCTTGAGATGTTTCCATCAAAAGTGAATTGCTCAGGATTATAGTGTCTGGGGACTACCTCCAAACTTTGTTGTCATTTCATTTACCTGATTTTCATTTACCTGATTTGCACAGTGTCTTGTGAAAAGTGGGATTCTTCTTCTGGAAGATGGATCTTTGGGTCCATCTATGCCTGGAAGAAACAGGCTGCAGAGCCTTTTCATCAGATAAAGGAAAGACACTCCCCCCCCAACCTTTGAGCAATTCTTTGCTCTGCGGAGGAAGGAGGTTTTTGTCTCAGTTCCCCATTAGATTGTTTCACTGTGGAACACTCTACCACTGCTATACCACATGTGACAGTAATAATCAGCCTCGTCTTCAGCCTGAAGGTTGGTGATGGTTAACTATCCGTTGTTTCCTGATCGGGTTCCGGTGAATCGGTCTGGGATCCCTGGTCCCCTGCTGCTGCAGCCATCACAGTGCACAAAGCGAGGAGATTCCCCAGATCTCTGTTGAATCCAGCGAATGTTGTTGGGATCACTGCTGATGGCACAGGAGAGTTTAATGGTCCCTCCTGGAGATCCAGACTGAGAGGCAGGCTGAGTTAAGGTGGGCTGTGAAATGGCACCTTTACAAAGTGGGGAAAAAAGAGGAAACAATAAAGACCTGTAATATTATGTGGGCCTCCAAAAATCCCAGAACCATCCTTTGGATGGACCAAATTGGATTTTATATTGTACTAATTAGAGAGTGTTTATTGGGCAGTTGAAGAAGTGATCCTCCACATACTTACATGAGAAATAACTAAGAAGTGAAAGGGAAACCAGAGTCCAGGCCATGGTGCTTTCCTTCAAAAGGTCTCCCTTCCTAAAACCAAGGAATATCTACCTGGGGATCCTTCTACCTTCTTACTTAGGTACTCCTAGAATGGAAGGAAAGTCCATGCAAATATAAGTACATTGATTGGCTTTCACTGAAATGGTTTTGACCAATAAGTGGAGAAGAGTTTTGCATAAAAGATGACTTTATTTAACCTTTCTGTTATAATGTGGGACTTGAACCGTTCTATCAGACTTTGTTAGACACTCCATTTCCCCTGCAATAAACAGCCAGCTGCAAATATCTTTCTTGAACTTCTCCCCAAAACAAAGAATAGCTTTCTTCAGAGCCAGATTTAACATTCTTCCTTCAGCAGATATATTGTTTAAATCTAAAACTTATTTAAAAAC